AGTCAGTGGAAGAGGAGACAGGTAAAGAAAAGCGAGACAGAGGACGAAGGTGAATGGAAGAACCAGGAGTGAAGGGTCACAAGCAAAGGGGAAGGACCACTCAGCAGTCAGACTGTACCTCTTTGCGCAGGTAGATTTTCCATGGAGGTTTCACATAGGAGAAGCTGACGCTGGCAGTGAGTCTGTACAGTTGCGTCTTGATACCATCGTCTTCTGCCACCGTCATAGTAGAGGCTAGGGAGGGAGAAAGAGAGGTAAAAATGGGTTTTGGTGACTACAGAGCCACCTTTCCCGTCTTCTGCCTACCAAGGGAAAGGGGACAGTGCCATGTGCTTCATGGAAGATTATGGGCCAGAACCCTCATCAAGGTCAGTGATCAACTAATGTGGATACATGCACAAAACACCCATCATGGAAGAAGTGCTATTGGAAATGATGCTTCTAAAACAAGGAATAACACCTCCAAACACTGCTTGGAAGCACTAGCTACCCCATTTTTCAGGTGGGCAGTAACCAGACATACTTCATGTGGCTAATGCCAAGGATGTCCCAAGCTCCCATTTTCCCTCTGAGAAACACTCCCACATTCCTCAGCTGGTCTAAGGGCCCTCCAGATACTCTAGAAGGTTGAACACCTCCCTTTTCATTCCTCCCTAGTCTAAAGTCTGTCCCTTGAACTGCAGCTTTGATAGAGCAACTATGTTTCAGGTAAGCAATAAATGTGTTGTGGGCTGGACTTTGATAAAGCCCAAAGGTCCATTTTATTTTTAGCTGCATTTTTAAGAGATACCCAGCCCTTCCTTCATCATTTCTGTTTGGTGTCCTGCATTGGGACACTGGGAAGAAAGCCAGGAGTTAGAGCTGGGCCGGCAACTGTGGTGGCAGCACCTGGTTTCACACAGTCTCGTGCCTCTCCTTCGAGCCCACTCAGTCTCTAGCAAACAGAGCATGTGCTGTGACTCTCCTGGTGCCTTGGCCACTGACTGAATCTGACTCTCCAGTTTCCCCCCAAAAAAACACACAAAAACTCTGTCAAAGTCAACACTCACCTTTGCTTGTGGGTTCCTGCTGGTGTTGGTCCCCAGACAAGAGAGGTGCAGGCATAGGTGGGGGAGCAGGAGGGGTGTCAGAAGGTGGAGGAGTTCTCGGCGGGTCCCTAAAGAGGGACAGGAGAGGCATCTGCCTCTCCTTGATGGAGCTGGATGCGGATGCCTTCTTGGGTGGGGAAGGTGGAGGTGCCCCTTTAGGGCTCTTCTCTGGTGGCCCAGGGGGTGGCTGCAAGACAGCAAAACCTATCTCCAGAATCCAAGGAAAATTTACAGACTAGAAGGCATTCTAGGATGGGCAGTACCACAGGCTCCAAGCCCACAGCTCTCTTGTGACCAGAAAATGCAGTGACTGGCTCCTATCCCACCACCACACAGCTCCCAACTCATCGGAGGCTGCACACAGGATCTCTCTGCCGAGCTCACGGGTCATCAGAGAGGAGGAAACTCACCGACTTGGGAGACTGAAGATTCATCATCCCCAGCTTGGCCAGAGCCTCATTCTTGGGGTCATTCTTCTTCATGAAGGGCTTAGACACTCTCCTGCAAGACAAGGGAAAGCGGAGTAGCTGGGGCTTCAGTGGGGCCGTGGCTACCATGAAGCCATGTGGCACTGTGGGGATGTGGCCCCCTCATGCCCATCCCTGCCCATGCAGGTGGTTCCCCCCTCACCTGCGGGGCTCGATGGGCTGGGGCTCAGGGGCTGGTCGGCTCTGGTACATCTTGATGATGTTGCCGATCTCCCGGCTGGGCGCAGGCCGCGATTCGGGGCCCGAGGGCTTCACTACAGGTGGCTCCTTCCTCACTGGCAGCATCTCCTTTTTGGGCTTTGGTGCAGGAATGGGAGCAGGAGCTATTGTGAATGAGAGTTTTAACCAACACATCAGCAAAAGCACAGGAAAAAGTCTTTAATCCCATCTGAAGGTCCCTCCCTTTCACTCCCGCCTGACCAGACTTGGCCTTCCTGTGCCTTGCTTTGACATTCCACTTCATAAAGCCCAGGCCTTTCTCTTGCTCTTGTGTTCTCGAGATACAGACTTGCAGAACAGCCTAATCTTTTCTTTCTCTGGCCATACCCTCAGCTGATGTTCATTCCTGGAAAGTTCTGCTTGTCAGCTTGCTTGGGTCTCCACGGCATGTCACCTTACCTGCCTCTGTTTTAGGCTTTGGCTTCTCTTTTTCCTTCCTTTCTTCTTTCTTTTCTTCCTTCTCCTCTTCCTCTTTTGGCTGGGGATTTGCTGGAGGAGTCCAGGTTTTAGGAGGAGGCCTGACTTTCTTCACTCGGATCTGTTGCCCTGCACAGAAATAGGGAGCCCAGCTCATTAAACCCATAGCAAACACCTAGACTAGGGCACCCACCCATGCATCAGCCAGCACAAGCCTGTGCTTTACAAGGACCAAAAAAAAAAAAAAAAAACACCACACACACACCACCACACAGTATGGCAATCAGAAGTCCAAAATTGCCCCAAACTGGCAACTCTCAATCTTTACTTCAGCCACTTGAATAGGCATACAACATTCCTGATACATATAGTGCCACAAGATCCCACAGTAATCAGCTGGATTCCACACAAGGAACCCTGCTGTTATGATGCGAACAGCTGAAAAGCAAGATGCTACGATGAGTGAAATATCCAAGGTGATAGAGGCTCACCCATCTTCTGGAAATACTCTTTCTTCTGCTGGAAAGTCTCCCGAGGGTTGTCATCATCTTCACTGTCAGAGAACTGGTCTTCCGTGTAGGCAGAAGTCTGCAAACAGTTCACAACGTGGTCAGTCAGTTTAGCCAGCAGGGACACCTCCAGGGTGACCATGAACTCAGAAGATGACCCTCCCTCGCTAGGGTTGGACCCTAAAGCAGAACTTCTCCCCATCTGGCAGTGTCCCACGAGATTGGGCTCTGACCCAAGAAAACATCAACCAAGTCCAGAGGAGGAAGAGGATGCTACAGCACCGAGACAGCTTGCTGTAGGACAAAGATTTCAAAACCATGAGTTTCCTATTGAAACTTAGCTCAGCTGGGAATGAATTGGCTCATACTGCAGCTGACTCTACGGATCTAAATGTCACCAACGTCTGACCCTGGACCTTTAAGCCTCAACAGGTAAAATTTAAAAGGTCTGTTTCATAGATGGAAATAGCGCTCTCTGCCTTCTTGCCAAACCACTGCCAGAGTGGAAGGGGAGCAGACCAAACAGTATGTCATGCAAACCCAACTCCCCAGCACCATTGGTTCCTTGTACCGTTTTTTCTGCCTGAGCTGGAGCTTCGGGAGACTTTGGTGGCTGTGCAACATTTTGGGTGCTGGGAGATGCCCTGGGCTTGGGGGAAGGGGCTCGGGCTCGTGGTGGAGTTGAGCCTCTCTGCCTCGAGTTCTCAGGAGACTGCTGCCGCCGCTGCCGTAGCTGCTGCTGCTGCTGTTGTTGGGACATGCTCATGGCTTGAAGGGTCATCTGCTGGGCCTGGAGGAAGGAATTGCAGCGTACATGGGCCCTAGGCCTCACACACATCCGCTATCAGTCAGGCTCCCCCATTCCTTCACCGGCAATCACAATTCCCTGTCCCCTGCCTTCATAGGCAGGAGAGGCCTTCAGAGCTCCTGGCAACACTCTGCTTTAAGTGATGTAGCCTGAGGCCCTCCTGCTTTCACAGGGTTTTGTGCAGAAAGCAGAATACTTTAGATTTGCATCCCTAGCAAATCCAGCTTAAATACATTGGGGAAGTACAGCTAAGGCCTCTCGGGACCTGCTCTTACCATGTTTCTTACTCTGTGGTGCTTCGATGTCCCTATCTTCTCAAAGGGACAAAGAGGGGAGCTCTGCAGTCTTGAATAACCCAAACTCAGGACACCTACCCAGCAGCACATAAGCCCACAGTGCTACAAAGCAGGTCCGAGGCAGGAGGTAAACATGGCTCATCTTTCATAACTCACACACACTAGTGTGATTTTCTTCCCCTGTTCTTGGGCTGTTCTCACCCTCTCCCTTTCACTCACCATGAGCATGGCTTGCTGGTTGATGAAGGCTTGCTGTTGTGCTGCTAACTGATTGGGATCCACTGCTGGAACCATAGGCTGCGCCTGGGGCATAACCATGGCTGCAAGAGACACACACACACACACATCTGCCAACACCTGTGGGCAATCAGTGCCTGAGCACCAGCCCAGAGCAGCCTGCCTGGCCCATCTGTGTCTCAGAGCTGCACACTCAGCTCACCTGCTCCTGAAACACTTGGCCCTGCTTTCAGCCCCTGCACAGATCACGCTGCACTGACATGTGGCTGCACAGCTGCCACACTGCACTGCAGAGCAACTGCACTGCA